TCATTTCAAGGCAGTCAAGGAAGAGCCTATCTGTTTAATTCGGTGTAAGTATGAGACCCACACCTACAATTCACCTCGGTTCTTTTTTTCTCCAGAGTGACAAACTTAGCTTTTTTACTGTTTTTGTACATTTGGTCTATTCTATGTATATTTTAAAAGTGTTCTGGGGGCTTGTAGATAAAAGCTACACAAGAAGCTTATTTGTTAGATGGCGTTTTAAAACCACTGGGTGCGTATGTTTGAATTCAAAGCAGAGTTCAAGCGTCCCTTCTTCACCTAAACCTACTGCTTTGCTTTCACACTTTCTTACCTTTTGTTTTCTGTGCAGCTGTTGTCCGTTGCTGCCATGATGACTGCACACGTATGTTAAAATTGTGTTTTAACACGCATGCACAAAATTGAGAACCATGCACAGGCAGGCGGAGCCACGAGCACCTTTACTAGCCCAAAAAAAACGTGGGGGGGGGGGTTGGGCAGGCAAAGTTCACATCCACCACCACAGAAATGATTCCCAGTAGTCGTATTCGATTATCCGTTCCAACAAACACATTAAACGAAATTAGATCCACTCGACAGACACTTTTGTTCAAATTCCCTAATTCCAAACAGCCTTGTGGGGAAAAAAAAACCAATGAAACACTTTAAAAAGTGAGTAAAGCTCCCTTCTTCTAATACCCTCCCCGGAAAGCAACGATGCATCCCATCGAGGTGCGTCTTTGTCCATAAACCTGTGGGACATTTTACCATGCACCACTGCCACCAATGTTGTTGGGCTGGCGTGCATGTACACTTTCATTCCATTTGAGTAACAAACACACACAAACGAGACCACAGCGTGCTTAAAATCCACCACCTCTCTTAGGTGGAGCTGGGCGTCTTGATCTCTTCATGGGTTCAGAAAATGACATTCACACTAACATCATTTTTGGTAAAATGCTCATAGATGTGCACTACATTGCCGTAGATTTTCAGCATTACAGGAAGTCAAAACCAGTCTGATTCTAGCCAACTACAGCCAGGAAGCACCGATGTGGTGATTTTCAGGTCAAAAGACACTGAAACATTTAGGTTAAAACTGGGCTGAAGTCCACTTTACATATAAATGTTTCAACAGCAATTAAATGAATATATTTGAATGTGAATCACGTCCTGACTACATGTTGGAATGTTGTCATTAAAATGCTTTTGAAACTAGAAAGGTGCACTCGGTAGAGAGCTCTGCGCCAGGTGTGTCTGCACCGGCCACTGCTGTATCGTGACCCCAATCTAGACACCGTCGTAAATCACACTCGAGAACAAGCGGCGGTTTATTCAGGCAATTGCCTTGAGGTTGTCGTGCAAGACACATGATACGATCTTTCCAAAACAAAATAAACTCACCGAGCGGTCCCAGTTGAAGCGACATACTCAGTAGTGTGTGTACTGGTACCTCGGTTAGCGGTTAGCCAAACACACCTTCCAAATCGATAAAAGTGAACCGTTTTCCCCTCTCTGTGCTTTGGCAGGGGGTTGGCGATGCACTCAGCTGTGTTATCACCTGTGGCCCACACAGGCAGTCAGTGAATACAAGATTTTTTTTGAGAAAGTATGAGTCACCACAACCACGAGAGGTCTTTGAGCATGCCGCCATAACTGGCCACCCAAAATATTATGCAGGTTACTGCAGTCGAATGCGAGAGTAGCCGTGGACAGACACACGTGTGCACCGTCACTCACGCACGCGAGCCGTCGCATGATCCTGCTGGTAATAATAACAATGGTTATAAGTAACCTAGACATTTAACAAACATTCATGTCAGTCGATGCTGCAGGAGCTGCTGGTTAACACCCGTCTCTTTAGGCCCTTGAGCTGCATTTTAGTGGTGTATTTCTTGCTTGGTTGGTTTTTGGGTCTCTGCTCTCAGTCTTCATGAAAACCACACAGAAGTCTCCCCCCCCCCCCCCTCCCCCCCAGAGGTCTGAGACTCTGTCAGGTGTCATGGAGCAGCTGCTTTGTGCTGCCCCACTCTGAAATACATTGCTCCTACCTGCCTGAATGCATTTAATGAAAGAAGCACTCTACAAACTCCAAAGTCCAAATAAGTTATTCTAATCATGCCCAATGTGAGAGCACCTGAAGCCCAGCGAGCAATGTTTATGGTGCTTTGCGGGTAAAAAAAAAGAAGACATTTAGTCTAAAACAGATGCATTTGGTGGGAAAATGAAAGTTTTGCAGATGTCTACATGTAGCTCGGTTACATGAAATGATTGTTTATTTGCCTGTGGCATTTCCTTTAATTAAAAGCTAATCAGCAACACTGTTTACTGGGAGGGAGTGGTGTAATGTTGACGGGGAAAAACAATAGATTTCTCTGAAGTATTCACTTATTGAGTTCTGTACTTCAGTACACTTTTGATGTATTGAGTAGTATTTCCATTTTGGAGGCTTTATATGTCTGAAGATATATATAAGATGAGAAAAACTCAAAAAATATCACTGTTGCCATAAAGAAATGTCTCTTTCTGGGAACAAAGCAATGTGGCGTTGTTTTGTTTTTTAGCTTGTTGTCAATGTATTTTTGACATTTGCAACTGTATTCAGTGCAAAAAATAACTTAAAATTGGTCAAATCTCATGTATGCAAAACCTAATATATTATATATGGAGAAATAATTGAGATAGAATTGAATATTTTCACTCATTTGTATCTCCAGTTTAAGTTTCTTGACTTTTTAGTCTCCAATGTTGGTCATTTGTAATAATGAATACACTACCATGCACCGAGTACACTTCGACATGTATACTTTGAATACTTGAGCACTGCTGTTACTTTATGTGAACATTTTGAGCTCTTCTTCTGCGCTCCCTGACCTCCGTGGCCTTTTCTCCACTTCCTGTCTCCCCTGCAGGGTGAATGTCGGCTGCGGGCCAGCCGAGGAGCGGGTTCTCCTCACAGGTTTACACGCTGTGGCTGACATCTACTGTGAAAACTGTAAAACCACACTGGGCTGGAAATATGTAAGTGTCCTTTAAACGCTCACCCTAGATCTTAATGTTTCTCGATGCACCACTTAACGCCTGTGTTTGTGTTGCAACTATGTGGTTTCTCGGCTTGCAAGACAAATTATGCTATCGCGGGTCAAAGGAACACGGTTGCTCTCATTAAAGCATTGCTTCTTAAAGCCATGGTGACAGTTTTTTGAGCTCGGGATTGTGTTTAGGCTCAGAGATCGAGAACTCTTCCGTCTCCTAGCGCGCAAGATAATTACAGTGCCGAAAGGTTGGCTGCAGACAGACTGGTACCTCTGAGAGTCTACAGTGATTAAATGTCAGGCCATTTTGAAGAGGCTTCTCCTGGTAATTGTCTGAGACGACTATAGAAGGGTGTAAAATAACTGAACAAAGTACAAGACAGGGACTCACTTAAAGCCGCTCCTTCAGTGACACAAAAAAAACAATTAGAGAGTATCACGAAAGCCCCGCAAGCAAAGCAGAGCGGAGCTGGTTTACAAGGCAAAGCAGGCTGAGCAAATAATCAAAGACACAGACCAACATCGACATCCTGATTCTCCGGGAGCTCAGCAGGACGGGGACGCACGCCGGAAATTATCCGGCTCTTCAGGAGATGTGTGGCAGGAAGTTGAGACTTTTGAAAGAGGGGATTTGGTCACTGGAGGAAAGCTTCAGTTTTTCTCCGCGTCCCTAAACTTCCTGCTTTTCTCAGATAATACTGAGGTCAGATGAATACATGTGTGCATATTTATTTGACTCAAAATGAAAGTCACTGCTGAGTTATTTGCATACTGTATAATGATGAATGGCTCCTCTGCAAATGCATGTGAATCACGGTTTTCTCCATCATTCACTTAAAAGCAGCTATAACACTTTGTGCGTTGTTTTGTACGCTACTTTGTACGCTAGTGCTGCTTTGTACACTGCTTTGTGCGTTGCTTTGAGCGTTGCTTTGTGCATTGCTTTGTGCGCTGCTTTGTGCGTTGCTTTGTGCGCTGCTTTGTGCGCTGCTTTGTGCGTTGCTTTGTACACTGCTTTGTGCGTTGCTTTGTGCGTTGCTTTGTGCGTTGCTTTGTGCGCTGCTTTGTGCGTTGCTTTGTACGCTGCTTTGTGCGTTGCTTTGTGCGCTGCTTTGTGCGTTGCTTTGTGCGCTGCTTTGTGCGTTGCTTTGTACGCTGCTTTGTGCATTGCTTTGTGCGCTGCTTTGTGCGTTGCTTTGTATGCTACTTTGTGCGTTGCTTTGTACGCTGCTTTGTGCGCTGCTTTGTACGTTGCTTTGTGCGTTGCTTTGTACGCTGCTTTGTGCGCTGCTTTGTGCGTTGCTTTGTATGCTACTTTGTACGCTAGTGCTGCTTTGTACACTGCTTTGATCGTTGCTTTGTGCGTTGCTTTGTATGCTACTTTGTACGCTAGTGCTGCTTTGATCGTTGCTTTGTGCGTTGCTTTGTGCGTTGCTTTGTGCGCTGCTTTGTGTGTTGCTTTGTGCGCTGCTTTGTGCGCTGCTTTGTGCGCTGCTTTGTGCGTTGCTTTGTGCGCTGCTTTGTGCGTTGCTTTGTACGCTAGTGCTGCTTGTGCGTTGCTTTGTGTGTTGCTTTGAGCACTGCTTTGTGCGTTGCTTTGTGCGCTGCTTTGTGCGTTGCTTTGTACGTTGCTTTGTGCGCTGCTTTGTGCGTTGCTTTGTGCGTTGCTTTGTGCGTTGCTTTGTACGCTAGTGCTGCTTTGTGCGTTGCTTTGAGCATTGCTTTGTGCGCTGCTTTGTGTGTTGCTTTGTGCGTTGCTTTGTACGCTAGTGCTGCTTTGTGCGTTGCTTTGTGCGTTGCTTTGTGCGCTGCTTTGTGCGTTGCTTTGTGCGTTGCTTTGTAGTTTGACAAAACAATCTTAACTCACTTACTAGCTTACTTCCGACACAGCTTCGACTCTGTGTGTAGGATCAGTAACAAAAAAGTTTTTCTAAAAATGGACGTGAATCGATTCAGAATCTTAGAAGATAAGAATCTTTTTTCCCACTACCTCTATGAAGCATCATATGTTATGATTTTTGTATGTTTACAATCTTAGATTTCAAGTAACTAAAGCTGTCGGATAACAGTAGTGCAGTAATAAAGTGGAGTAGTAGCATACAGCGGCATGAAAATACTCAAGTCAAGGTACTTCAAATATAAGGACAGTACTTGAGTAAATGTACTTACCACCACAGCTTGTAACTAAACATTTTCTTTTTTTCTTTTTGTTTACAGGAACACGCGTTTGAGAGCAGTCAAAAGTACAAAGAGGGAAAGTTCATCATCGAGCTGGCTCACATGATCAAGGACAATGGATGGGAGTGACGCTCCTCTTTTCTTTTTCTGACCTTGGAATGCTCTTTATTGAACTGCGTGGAGCGACGGCCATCGACCACCCCCCACCCCACCTCCACCAACCTCCACCCTCTCGCCTCCTTCACGTGCACACTCGCCCATCGTGAAAACGAACAAGAGACTTCACCGATGGGGACATGTCTTTCTTTATTTCGCCCACCCAGCGAGACGGATGATGATTATTTTTTAAATGTAATTTTCTGTAGTTTTAACTTCTGGGTTTGGTAAGGTTTTGTTTTGATGGCAGATGGATGTTACTGGTTAGCATTTTATTTCCCTGTCAAGTCCGTTATGTTTTGTTGTTATTCTTGTTGTTGTTGTATCTCTGCCCATAGCTGAGCATGCTTTTCTTTGCTAATGTCCAAATGAGCAATCAGGGACGAGTGAGGAGCGGAGGGGAAAGGGAGTTTATTCTAGTTACAAATTATGTAGCAGCATCATGCTTTTTAAAAACAAAATGTGGCAAAGGATGGGATTGCAGTAGTGTTGGATTTTATTCCCTTTTTTTTTTTAAATCTTTTTTTGTTCTTTCTTGTGAATCTTCTTAATTCCCCACCTTCTGGTACCTGTTCAGCACCCAAAAAGCATTGAAAGCAGCACCTACTATTTGTTGGACATAAATGGATCTATATACATACATATATATAATTACTATATAGATATATAAATACTTGTAGTGTTTGGCTAAGTGCGATTGTGGCTGGTCCCATTTTGCAGCGAGTGAAAAAGACCTGAAGAGGAGCAGAAATAGTTTGTAGACTGGGGAACCTGACATCAGTGGCCACGTGTCATAAAGCATTAAGGCAGACTGTATTATTCCATTGTCTAGTGATGAAACAAGAGACACAACTACATATGAATATATATACACACACACATACTACGATTGCATACCCATAAATACTATGAAAATGTTCGTAGTAGGTAGATATTGGAACATGGATTCTGAATATATATTTGCTGTCATGCACGTGTGTATATATGCATATGACTGTGTGTATATATGCATTTTGTGAGTGTAGTCACGCATTACACAGTGACATACTTGAACGATGCTACTTCGTTTGCACTTTGCAGAGGCCTTTGGTTCATCTCAGTTTAGAGGCAAAAAGTTAGTTCGCTCTTGTCTGTTTTTCTGTTTTTTTCTTCATGGCCTTCTCACAGATGAACGACAGATTGTTGGAGACGGAGAGAAAGTTTGACCTGGACGGTTTGAGGGTTTTACGTCGTTTCCGTTAAGCCTTTAGTTAGATTCTTCTTGATGATTTGGTTTTATTTAAATTATATCGACATATTCCGCTTTACCTTTCAGTTGCTGGAGAAAAGTGTAGTTTCCGATGATTCTTTGCTGCTACCGTAGAAATCCCGCCATTTCCTTCCCGCTGTCGTAGGTCTTTTGCACTTTATATGCTTATCCGTCTCTCTCTCTCTCTGTCAGAGCGTATGAATCGTCTCTTTGTGATTTGCCTCTAAGCCGTATGAATCTTGTGCCTCTTCAAAAACATGAACAGCCTCCCCTCATATTTTCTGTTGTGCAGTGCATAACTCCGAAAAAAAACCAACCTTTGTGTGAACCGATGTGTCTTCCCTACCTCCCTCCCCCCCTCTTTCTGGTTCAAAGCGGCCCTCAAAAATAATGTTCTTCAACAAAATCCTCAAAGAGCTCTTCCCTGTTTCATTTTCTTTTTTGGGGGGGGACAACAGAGACTTGGTAGACATACATACATAAGATTTAGAGGTGCAAAAACAGATTGATATTCAGTATATTATTTCTCAGTGTAAAGCATAGAGGAGGAGCTTTGAAACGTGGGGGGGACGGGGACGCCCAAGGCTTGAAAAAAAAAAAAGATGGCAGAAGGTGGAGGAGGGGCAATGTGGGATTTGAGAGATTTAAAAATCAGCAGTGATTGATTACTTTGCCGGCGAGGTCAGTCAGATCACATGACCTTTTATCCTAAAAACGATGACAATGCAAACCCTTGATAGTTTAGTGATACCTACTTGAAAATATAAAGACATAAACAGCTGAGATATTGGCCCGTGTTACAGTTTTTGTACATAGAGTAACATATTTAAGGTTTTATACGTATTTCTACTGGGTTAGTTCATTTACTTCCCCAACTTGAAGCACTTTTGTTCACTGTACCTCTGGCTGTGTGTGTGTGTGTGTGTGTGTGTGTGTGTGTGTGTGTGCGTGTGCGCGCATGTGTATTAGCCCACATGCATACTTGCACACAAAAGTGAATGTTTAGTTTCTTTTCCTCAAACAGTTTATTTCTCTTTTGGGTTTTTTCTCTCTTTTGGTTTGGAAGTGTTTTTATTGGTCCTGTTGTTTTGTTTAGTTTCTTTTCTTTCACAGCTGTTTGGTTTCTCTCCCGGTGATCCGTGAGGTCGAGAGCCAGGTTAGTTTGTTTGGAAGTGATTTATCCCTATTTTGTTTTGTTTTTCTGTTAGCTTGTTTATTTAGCTTGTGTGGCGAGAGCTCGTCAGAGGGCCGATGTTTAGGTCTCTGCTGAGCCGTGTGGACATTGAGGGCGAGCTGGAATCTCCCACCATGTCGCAGGGACAGCCTTTCCCAAGACCCATTCGCACCACAGTCAGTGTCTCCTGTATAGCTCTCAGGTGATGAAACGCACCATCTGGCCGCCATATCGGAGGTCCTTAGCTTTTGGAAACGTTGGCTGTGAATATCTGATTGTATTTCTTGAGAACTAATTCATTTTTGTGCTTTGATCGAAAATGAATTGTCCTGATTTATTGTTTTGATAATATTAACTTGTTAGCTACCTAAGCTCAGTCCCTACATCCCAGTTCTTGGGCTGCATCCTTTTGACGTTTGTATTTTAAGACTCCTAACAAGTCAAACAAGGCCTGTTTTATTTTTAACACTCCTTGATATGCAGCTCTCCGTGTCCCACAATCCCCTGCACACCCGTTATTTAAAAAGCAACCCAACAGTAGCTGAAAGTGTTGTTGTTAATGACACCCAGTGCTTCAACTTCTCACCTGGCTGCAGTGGTGTAGAAGTGTACTCCAGGGGTGTGTCGGTACACCGTGACATCACTGGTGGGTGTGGTTACAGGTGCAACGGGGCAGGTTTCGGACGAAACCATTAGTGATGAAGTGGTGAAACTTTCCACTTGAGAAACTTTAAAGTGTTGAAACAAAACCTTCAGCCGGCTGTTGTGTTTCTCTTTAATGATGCATTCAAGCTGTTCATCAGTGCCGGTAAACTGGCTACATTTCATAAACTGACTTCACTACTTGGTATTCACCACTTCGTCAGCCATTTCCTGGTGATAAACTTGAAAACTACTGTGACTGAAAGCAAATTCTTGGCCTTTTTAAAACAGCGGTTGTCTAAAATATTCTCACCAAAAGATCCATTTGGTAGCTGTTGGAGCGTGATCGTCACATGAGCTTCCTTTTCTGAGCACTCGTCTGGTTTGGCTTAGGAATGGAAATGTGAACATCTATGTGGTAACTCGGCAACTCCACCTGCTAAGGGAGAAGCTCCAAAACACCAAATGGACCTTGTGGTGTGATTGTTTTGTCAATTTACTTTACGAGTAGACAAAGAGCGCCTGAATGCACCATTGGTTTTCATGTCCGTGAGGCTACACTTGCCTTTACTTTCTCTGAAGGACACACTTTCAAGGGCTGCATTTTTATTGGAAGGTTGCAGCTCCTGAAGTGGGATGCAGCCTTTAATCTGGTCAGCCAGCCTTCACTCTCTGGTAAGATGAAGAGATCTGGCTGGAAATGTCAAAAGCCAGCCGTTTGTTTAGTTTTAACTTGGTAAACCTTTACCAAACTTATAGAGTGAAGAGGCACTGGTAGCTACATTTTGAAACAAAATGAATCAATCCAAGCAGACCATTCACGTCTGCTGAAATCGTTACTGAATGGACCGACAGTAGTCTGACTTGTTAACTGTTATGTACACAGCCAGTTCCTCCAAAGGACCTCCAAGATGGCGCCGCTAGTGAAGCTTGCAGAGCCGCTTTACTCTCCCTTCGATCAGTCGGTCCAAGTTGAAACCAACAAATAGCAGTTGCCAGTGTCACCGCCGGTGTGTACCAAATAAGAACCAGGTTCTAGCGGATGCATCAGTGTCACGTGTCCGTGGGCAGGAAGGATGCCAGGGATCGAGTGTCTCCTGCAGATTCAACCGCTATACCAAATTTAAAGAGGAGAAATCCTGTCGCGTATGACATTGTCTTTCCGTAGAATGTTTTGATTCTCTGAACTCAACAGCGTCAAAGCAGCCTGGATGAAAAATGTAGATATTTGCTGCTGAAAAACTGTTTACTTTTTATTGTTATTTCGTTTTATTGTGACACTGGCTACCTACTTTTTGAGCTCTTGTTACTTTCTAAAAAAACATACCTGAAAGGATGTTGATCAAAGGCAAGATGGGTATACAGGGGGAAAGACTGTACAAGTTCTTCTCTTGGGACTGTTAAACTACAGTTTAAGGTCTAAAGCATGTTGTATTTATAATGGCTATATGTCGTGCCTGTTTTATTTTTTATTTTTTTTCTCCTCAATTTAAAAACAAAAATATATGCTTTTTATTTGACTACATTGCTTTGCATACTGTCTTAGTAAAGCCATGTCACACGTCTGTTTTCACTCTAATGTAAACTATCAGATATCACAATAAATTTTCAATGGCATTAAGTTGTGGATTGTGTGAAGTCGTCATTCATTTTGAGGATACGGCTAATATTTTGGTATTAAAAAAAAAAAAAAAAGAAATCCCTGCCAGGAGAGCCACGTGATTTCTTGCGTTCGTCTGTGAGTGAGTGAGTGTGCACGTCTGTGTCTGTCCACGGCTAAACTCTCATTCTGCTGCAGTAAACTATGTAATAATTTGGGTGTCCACAGATGGCTTCATGCTCAAGAATCTCTGGTGGTTGAGGTGACTCACACCTTCTCAAAATACCTTTTATTGCCGGGTTTATACAGCCATTGTCCGCCTGCTGACTCTTAACTCACTACTCTCGCTACTCACTACTTTTTAAAAAATATGTTTAGGATATTTCACAATCTTATTGAGTACATTTTTGATATTTGATGCCCATTCCCAAACAGCAAAGTCTGCCTGTAAAAG